ACTGATTAGTAATTACATTACACAACGATTGGATAGTGAAAATTAAAATATTTGCGGACAAAGTAGTTAAAAAGCATTGTGATGTATTTATATTCGTTTTAGTTTCTCTGTTTTATATTAATTTTTCTAATAATATTAAATTAATCGTCGAGTTAAATAATGAAAAAAATCTAAAAAAAATATTAAATTATGCAAGTCGTGGTGTCTTATATAGAAAATAATTTTTATAAATGTATCATACTTTATATTAACATAACATCAGAACATTTAAAACTCTACAGATTTARATTAATTTCAATCATATTTGATGAAACTAAACATATGTTTGAATTAGTAACAAATATTGAAAGTTTTACATTATTGGCTTAATATGATTCATTAAAGTGGAAACAATGTTATATTACGGAATAAATTATTCTTGATTATTATAGAAATATATTTTGTGTAACTAATTTACAGTCATTTGTATAATATGATAATGAAATTAAAGCATTAACGGATTTTGAGATGCCCAATTTCATTAAAAATGGATTAAATAAAACTGTATTTTTTATATTACCTATGTACAAACTGCTACCTATAGACTGATTATAGTTATTATTACTATTCTTGTCATATTGTAAGCAATACTGATGATTGATGAATAATGACTATAACTGTTTTTTATTTTTTATTCATGACAAACTTTTTAGTGACTAGTGAGTACCTACCTGGCTACCTATATTAAAATTATTGTTGTATAGCTTTATGTATTACTATTTATTTATATAGGTTACGAGTTTATGATTGTTGACTCATGATTTATTACAAACAGTGGTAACTTGACCTTGTGAGAACTAGATAATAGAAGTTAATTTTATGAATTAATATTATCTATCGTTAAAATAGTTAAATAATATATTAAAATTTAAAAATAATATTAGGAACTACGTCATTTAAAAATAGGCAGCTTTTGATGAAAAATAATTTTACAATGAAATGGATGATTCGTATTTGTTTAAAGTAGTATAAACTATAGTTGTACTGAAAAAAACGTTTTCGAGATGGTTTTTCACGGCTAGATTATAATCGGCTACTAAAGTATACTATAGTATTATGTATATTGTCCACGTGTTTATAGGTGTGTATGTTTTCTGAACAAAAGGCATTTCGTGTACTTGAGCGTGTAACCGTTTGTTGCGGGTGAGTAAAAGTTCTAGTCGAATGGTCGTGTTAATAACGTGTCTCGGTCGAAGCAATGGCGATGCCGYCGCYGCGCGTTGCGGATGTTACCGTTTTCACCTTTTTGGCGGCAATACATATTATAACAAGATTTATGGTCTCAGGTAACGTTGGCGTGTGAGTATGGTACAACGCTTAATATACCCATATACATATGTCATATATATATATATATACATAAAATATATACGGACACGTTATAATAATAATAAATAAATAAATAAATAATAATAATAATAACAACGCGTACACGACTATTCGTGACGACCCGTGCGGCGGCACCGAGCGTTTGCGTGTATTATATTGCATATGCGTTTATATGTTTATATATTATATATAAATATATAAAATGTGGTGCGCACATCTAGAGTGGTCTTATACATATACTCATTCGAACGCCACTGAAAGACCGTAAAATAATAATACATATTATACACTTAATAATATACTGCAGCAGTGAACTAAATAATAGTATATAGACATAATAAAATGGTATATATTATACGCCGGGTTGTATAGGCATTGCTCGGCGCGTTTAGGCTCGGTGATAAAAACACGGGCTGTACCCTATATAGGCGCACTCGGGGGAAACGTATACTTAGCACCACATGTGGTCGCGCCCGAGCATTAGCAATTCTAAATATGGTCGCGGGGGCGGAKGGAGTGTGCGAAAAAAGTGGGTCGTGGCGAGCGATAGAAAAAAACGGTACTCGCGGCTTTTTTTTCGCGTATTTGTTTTTTATTTTTTACCGCACCATGGGCACATGCACGAGACCGAAATCGCACGATTTCACGACATTTTCCGCACCGTAACTGATGCGTGTGTACGAGCTCTATATAATACACGTCGTAATAGTAATGTATAAACAATATTAATAATATTATGGCAAAGCGGCGGCGGGTATAATACGCGCGCGACACTATATTTTTCAATGCTGCTGCTGTTTTTAAAGTATATATTATAATAATAAATATATGTTTTTTAACTATTTATATATAGTTTGTTGTAAGCCGGCGAAGAGTTTCTATATTTTGAATTTATCTTTTTTTCTGGTTTTAACGGGTAAACCGATAAAGAGTGTTATAATCTATTTTTATTTGGTATATCTAATAAAAAATACATACGTATTATTATACGTGATATGAAAAAAAAAACATTAACACATAAGTTCGGTATGTATGTTTATATTAAATTATATGTATATAGGTACAAGTAGATACATATAGATACCTGATTGGCTGCCTACAATGAGGGGCTTAAAAAATAAGTCACCTTTTAACGTTATTTTATTCAACAGATTTTTGTCAAACTACATTGATAAATTTATTCTCAAAAGTGGCATTTTACGGACTAATAARCCATATCTAGTGAGTTCCGCATGCCTTAATGTGATCACTGGTTTATCGAATCAACCATTTATTGGAACCAAAAATTGAAAATCCTAAACCAAATATTATATTAAAAAAAAAAAAAAAAATGCTATATAGAATCAACTGGTTATTAGAATAAAAATGACCTGAACCAAAGTGATTACATTAAGCGGTACATATACTTACTGTATATGGTAAGATGATGTTAACATATTATTATAATCTGGAAGTTTCTTATTAATTAAATATAAATTATGTTTCAATGTAATAAAKTGTAGCAAATACGGATATTTTTTAAAACAAAGAGTTAATCATCAAAGATGTATCCGTCATAAATTCATAACGGTAGATAGGTAAATAATTATACACGTTTAAAGCCCTACTAGAATATTTGCTCTTCCCTACTCTATTGAATCTTTTTAAATTTAAAAAAAAAATGATAAAGTCTATAATTTCGATTTGTTACGATTTAAGTTAAGTTTCTAATTTTTTGAATATTCATTTAATGAATGTAATTAGTTTTAAACTAAAAAAGCTTATTAAAAGTATCAATCTTTAAGTTATTGACATTGTTTTAAATGGACACTAAATATAAGTGTACCGTTTTACTGAAATGTACATGTCACATATTGTGTGAAATTCTGGAATGTGAATATTGAATTRTATATTTGTATATATGAAAACAAACAATGATATTTTCAAAAAGTATGCAGTAATAATTCCGTAGTGCGAATAGTTAAAAAAAATGATATCTTTAATAGGTAGGTACCTACTTGTTATGTTTTGACAGTTTAAATGTACGGTAAATACTAAGCAACATATACCTATTTATTGTCATTAAATAAGCATAATATGCGCACCTACACAAAAAATAAAAATTAGATATTTAGATTTTTATTGTTACCACTCATCTTCCTATTTGGAAATCGAATAAATTATTTAATAATATTTGCTTGTTATTTGTTTTTTATAGTAAATTCAATATGGATAAATGATAAGTTGGTCAAGACTCAGCAAATTTAATGATATGCCTGCCAACGCATCATAATAATATGTAATTGAAATAATTTAAAGTCATAGCCATCTTTTTTTCACTATCTATACATAATAACATCATTATTGACATGATACACGCCACACGGTGCAATGGTACGGTACACTATAGGCTAGTAATATAAATGCAGAGTATTCTTTTCTTTTATTTATTTTTGTTTTCATAGTTTCATCATATAATTCATTTTCGTGGATGTGCATATTTTACGAGTCACATGAGGTATAGTATATTGTATATATAATATGTAGGTCATGTATTTATCATATATTATATATTATTTTTTAAGCACAGGTAACAAATATTTTTAGKTACAAGAAATTATTGTCGTCCATACGTTTTTTAGATTCAAACACATAAAACCATAGGTTTTTGAGGAGATGTTGTTTTTTAAAAATTATTATCATATTATAGGCAATAAATAGGCTATAGGAAGGTCGTAGGTATAACAATAATAAACAATGTATTACTATTAAAATTATATATCTGACAATCTAAACAACAAATTGAGTGATAGGCATGTAGTCCTATACTTCAATAGCAATTAGGAGATTTAAAGAAAAAAAGCAATATCAAGATGCTTATTGTGCACACTTAAAAATAAATCTATATGATTAAAACACCACGAGTGTAAGAGAATTTAACGCATGTGCGAACGTGTAAGATTCATTTTAGGTTTTAACTGAAATCTTTTGTCTAGTTTCTGGAGGTATCTTGTATCTATATAATATATATATATATAATGTATGAAATATGCATGTATAATTATATAATAATACTATTATTATGCTATTATACATGTACAAAATCGTTGTTAAGGACAACACTAAAATTCAGACGTTTAAACAATAATCAATTCAAAATTCAAATACAATTTACTATTCAATCCAATGCATATTGTTCATTATAATCATTTTTTTTTTACAAAAATATATCTATACAGTATCTGTGTCTATTGTATATAATTGTTTTCATTATTATTTTGTTTTAAATATACTCATGCTGCATGATGCAGCCTGCATCCATATTAAACAATAAACATATGATTACACTCATAATTTACATATGTAWAGTAAATAACTGGGACGATGTAAGGACAATATAATTTATCGCTAAATGCTAATGAACGATGATAATAATTTATTGTTCTAGCTGTAAGAGAATTGTTTTACCTGTGGCACAATTCTTAGCAATACCTGTACCTAGCCAAATTAATACTTCATCAGTGTCCGCTAATCGAAATAGGTGGATTATATAATAATATAATCTGATAATTGAAATTGTCGCGACTAATACATAAGTAATAAATGAATAATCCCGAATCCCAAAATGATCACAAAATTTATTTTCACTTACTTTGCCTGTTGGGTCCGTAGACAGTTCCGTAGTGTGTAGGTCATCAGCGTTCAAGGATGCCGAGCACGGCTCTTTGTACCTGGACGGACAGGCGCATAGTGGCTGCGTGTAGTTGAGTCTTACATACACGGCATTACACACCTGTATAATTAAACGTATTTTATTGATCATGTCTAGTTACCATTTTACATAAAATATTGAATGTTTAAATCTTATTATTAATATTACAAATCCAATAGCAAGCGATTAAAAACGTAATATATAATAATATATAGGTACAACTTATACCTATGTGTTTGCAATGTTCTTTTAAAGAAATTTAAGTACTGATCGTAACTTATAACAAAAAATATAAAATAGGTGCCTTACATATATGTATATTGTATATGTATTATTTATATATTTTTTAAAATAATGTAAAAATAAATTTTGTTTAATTGTAGTTAGGTGCTTGTTAAATTTGTACAGAAATAGAATAAATAATGGTACCTACGCGTGTTGAGTATGCGCTCTCCCATCATTATCTAAGCGATCTTTATTGTTTTATGTTTTGAAATATATTATTGTTTAACACCTTTGATATTCGATATTAAAACTATTATAGTAHTATTAGATTTGTATATATTTAAAATCTATTTAATAAATCTAATAAATAAGTTATAATACGTTAATTTTATTGTAATTTTTTTTTTTTTAAATTAACCTAACATCATCAAAAAATTGTCTTAATGTTGTTTAGAAATGTATTGAATATATTGACACTGAATTAAACATTATACATGATTAACCGATATTAGTAGGTCACAAATAACACCAACTTTATTTAGTCAGTGATTCCAGATGTCGGTACATCATCTACTATACACTGTTATAGCAGTATTGCATTTAGGTACCTATAAATAGTGAAAATAATTTTTTTTWAAACTAATTTTGATTAAAGCATTTTTTATCCGTAAAATAATAAYTATTCTAACAATATAATTAAATTGCAATGCAATGCAACTAAACATTTAACTTCAACATTTTATCATCAAAAACTTAATACAAAAACTTCTTATAACAATATACCTGTTGAACTGCACACTCAGGTAGTAGGTATATGTGTTGGTTATGTGGATAATAATGGTATTTTGTTGGTTTTAATCCTTGGTTAGCTGTTGCTGATTTATTAGTTTCCTGCTAGAACAAAATAATTAGATAATAAGTGTTAGTTAAAAATGAATTACATTTATTAAATAGTCTATAATTATTAGTATGGCAAAATACTTCCGTAGAACAATTTAACAGGCAGTATTGAATATATTATTATACATAAAACCTATAATATAGGACCTATACTAAACAAAACTAGGTTTTTAATTTTGTTTGTTTTAATATTTTATTTTGAAAATATAAATAATTTTATGATTAATTATTAGTTAATAAACTACTCATTAAAAAGTGCTTATWTATCAATAAATTTTACATCACGAGTGTGCCTACTAAATCTTGATAAYATTGAGGTCTAACTAATATTATTWTTTTTTTGTACCTAACTTTTAAAGTCATTAGTTAATTTTGTTTTTTCTATTATTAGGTACATTTTTATTTTTCTATAAAAACAGTAAATTACTGTTCTTTAATATTTATTACCAATAATAACATAATTATAACTTTTAAGGATAATCAGTTGTGTCATCGCAGTCCGGATAATTAGGACGGAAAAATACAATACTATAACCTGTTGTATCTCTTATACATGGTACGTTCTTTGTGTACAYATAATATACAACCACTTTCGCTATATTGATAGGTTTTGGAACTTAATACTCATTGCCGTAGCAGTATATACGACCGAATGGACAGCACTCGACTCGCGACTCCTGATAATSTAGGACAATATCTTGGAAATCTTACCTGTAATTATTACAATGCCAGTACCTATACTCAATTATTACACTTCTCAACTTCTGTCCTTGTTATAGGTCCGTTTTCCGATTCAGCTATTCTTTYAGCTTGTTAATAACACTGAAGARCAATATTGCCCCCGGAATATACGCCGCTATGGCCCAGTTATGTGGGCGGCACCCGAAGTCAAAACGTGTCATTGTCAGTATCTGTGTACCTATATACTGCATATATAGAAACTCGCTGGACATGCCAGAAATGTGATATTCACAGTAATTTCTATTTCTATATATATATATACAATGCAATGATATGACAAATCCGTGTTTATTTATATAATATATATAATAATATTTGCAAATAGATAGGTTATAGGTACTCGCGTGGCTCGTGCAAAAAGTTTTCTCGAATAATAATATTATAGGTTAGTATCTGGTATATAGTGGTATACTACTTTTGACGTTTTATTTTTATTTTCTCCTTTATACAAATATCCTAGTATAGTATATTGGTAWAAGATATTAGTGTTAAAACATGGCTGTGACACACTTGAACTTCTTCTTCGTTAGGTTTCAAAATTTGTTTCGGTCAATAGAAATTTTCAGACGATGGATCGATGATTGACGGGTATTTTGATTTTTGGCATATTATATTTAAATGGCTCGATGCGACCAAAGTAATTTTCTCATCGTACGCGCATAGTCATCGAATTATTGTTATTATTATGTTATATTAATAATGATTAAAGTTTAATAGGCAGGTATCTATTATCTATTTCGTATGTGTGATAAATTGACAATCGTTGTACTGAATTTTTTTTCAGATTCCATTGAATATTCTCTATTTTTAACAAAATGTCAGTTCAATAAAATTACAATAAGTATATACAAATATGTTAATATTAAGACAATCATATATATATATGTCAAATATGTGTTTAGCTATTTTAATATCCGATGATACATTTTTTCTTTGAACATTGAACTTCTCAACTTATAGGTACTTGACTAAATTTTATTTTAATAAAGGCATAATTCCTATAGGTATAATATTATACAGAATCACGTAGGTAGGTACATTGAAATATTGTATCTGCAGCGTTCGAATAGTATTACTTTTTTATTTGCTAAATTCCGCTAACTTGTGGAATTTATCACATTAAGTGMATTTTTAACAACTCCTCTACAGTGGCGTTAGATCCTATGCACATCTAATTCACGTGAAATTACCATGCCATCGTGTGAAATTTCATGTTTAAATCCAGTGGGCGTGTAAGATTTGTAAATTCTTATAAAACGACAACAGCATAAAAACTAACAACATTAAACGGTAATATAAGACTGTATCGTAGCGCCTATATTTTGAAATTTACATTCCACTGACAGCACTAATTGATAGATTTTTTTTAAATCCATTCACAAAATACATTATTTTTTTTACAAAATTTGATCACTTTAATGAATGAAGTGATTATCGTGATTTAGCATTTAGTGTCTCAACGGATTAATGAGTATTTATTTTTCTAATAAAATAATTATGAATTGCGTTTATTAATAGGTATTTAAATAAAAAATCGTATACAAGATAGATATTTAATTTTGTTATGATTAGGTATTTCCGTATATTGGTACAAAAATACASTATAGCAGTATAGCCTATAGGTATAGTGTACTTAGTATACTTACTATTTTATGTACAAATATATACATAAACATTACATTATTTAATTTGTCTATTAAATACTTATTTAAGTTGGTTTTATACTAAAAAAAAAATGAAAACATATTATATGTTTTGAATTTATGATAAAAAATTATTCTAAGAATTTTTTTTTTCTTTAACTTAATAAATAGTCATACACTCATACCTATCTTTAATTATACCTTTATAAATTTTGTAATTCAATAATAGACCTGTTTATTTTTTGCCGTTATCAAATTACCCATGTACACTGTACAGATAATACATTTCTCGTAAAAAGTCCACTTATCCATGCGTGTTAAAGCTTAAGCGAGAGTACGTGTGTTTAATGCGTGTACGTAGGTAGTAGGTACCTACACTACATTGGATGGCACCTGATGTATTAAATATCATATTATTTCAAAAATATTTATTTTACAACAATATTAACATCAGTAAAATACGAAATATTTTAAGGAAAGTGCATAACTACTAAAAACCTATAGTCTTTAGTAATCTTAGAGAGAGGCGCGAATTCTCCCCCCCCTCCAGGATGCTTTTAGTTAAATATTCTTTGGTGATTGCGAAAAGTATAATAATAATAATAATTATATTTATTGAAAATAAAAATAATAAATTATTGTTTAAACTTTCATGTTAAAATTATTTGTTCGTAACACTTATACATAGTTTGTATTATTTTCATTTGTTTGTGGTTTAATTTAAGTCTTAAAATAAAAATTTGAAATTTAATCTTTAAATTAATATGATWCATATTACATATTGCATATTATATTCTAGGGAAGCCGCTAATTGTTGACTTTCCTATCCTGCAGGCTTGAATCTCTATTTTTATTAGATACCTATATTATTTTTATCATTTAAGCATTGATTATAAATTGACTATGTTATTATTAAAACATTGATACTATACCTATATTAAATAATTATATTCTTTAGAATTTAAATATTTATATAAATATTTTATAAATTAGGTATAGTGTTTTTAATTATAGAGAATTCAAAATAATGTCTCAGATAAAGAACGATGCAATGATGTACCTCACATAAAATCCAAAAACTGATTTCTCTGTGCTGGAATTTTATTGACCAGTGAACCTACTCATAGAAGCCCACACGTACGCAAACTTTCCAGAATCCTCATAGTTGCTGAACCGTTTAATTGGGTCGGTTAAGTAATTAAATCAGAACATTTTCGCTTTCTCACGATGCAGCGACTACATAAAGGTAGATGGGCATAGTTTGGCGCGGAAAACCTAATCGAAGAAATCGATTGCTAATTTAGTTTGTTATTGTTTTTTTTTTTTTTTTAATTTACCTCTTCATTTTTCTCTGTCCCTCGCATTGTTTTCGACCAAATAGAAATTATGTTGATTGGTCGAAGGCGTACGCGACCGTTACACAGGGGTTAATGGATTTCATGGAATCAAAGATCTCTCGCATGCCGTTTCGTTTATTATATGTTGGTTATTCTCTAATGTTAAGTAATTATACAAATATACGCACGTGTATGCATTTTGTATTGGTGTAGCGGCTACCGCAAAGATAGTTCTATAAGTAGTATAGGTACATCATAATATAATATGATGATAAAAAACCTCCAAACTAAACGAAATTAAAATACAACTGTAAATATAGAATTGAGCAAAATGTTTTTGTATTTTACGGTTGTTATTATATGAATTGTAACGGAACATTTATGTAATTTCTCATATGTATTCCTATAAATTTGCGTCATTTCGTTCGAAACGATAAGACAAGCGTCAATTATATATACATAATATTATATAGTTAGGTATACTCTTATTGTACTATTGTCAACTGTTTTTTGAATACCGAATTCAACATTTCACAAAACTAAATAAGATATACACTRGTGTCAGCTAGTACCCTATTTACTATATATTATGATAATACCTAGTCTAAAAACTATTAAAGATTTCTTTGAAAACTTTTAAAACTATGAGTTTTAATATATAATRTGGTAAACACAGTTGCTTACCTATTTATTCTAACAAATAACTGTAGAAATATATGGTTTTTTAGATGAATATTAAAATGCTGAATATCATGACCAGAGTTATCTTTTTTAATATTTATTATTATTATTATTATTCTAAAAATTAATATACAAATATTATTAATAAATAATAATCAATATAACATTATTATACATTCGTTTTACTAAAATGTAAAATTTTAATTGCTAATTAATATATAATAAATATTTTACCCTCTAATTTATGGTTTAAATTTAAAATATAATTTTTTAGTAGGTAATTAGATTTTAAGAACCAAATACAATAAACTAAGTACTAACTGATATATAAACACAGTAGTTGTAATTGTAAAAGGACTTWTGATTTGTTTAAGAATTTATTATCATAGGTACCGTTTAATTGAGTAATTTAAAGTTTTCTAACTTAATATTATTTTGAACATGACWAAACATSTCAATATAATAAGTAGTAATTTTCAAAAAGGTATAGATAAACTGTATATGATATATATCTTATAAAATCGAATACATCCGTGTACAATAGTGCACATMATTACCTATTATAAAACTTAGTAATAGTTGCATTATATACAACAAAGTAAAAGTAGATATAAACGAAAATATTGTATACTGTGAATGGTAAGACCTCGATAGGGTTGGTTAAATAAATTAGAATTATAACTTTATGACATGATAACTAATAACTTATTAGTAATAAGTCATAGTAAAATTGTTCATTATGACAATGCTATAAGTTATAACCATAAACCAATATAATGTAATTATTATTTATTTTGTCACTAAAATATTTAGCTAAGACTAAAATCTATTGTTCGTAAACCCAATAAATAAGTATATAGAATTCGAGATTTCTTTTGTCGTACGTTCTGAATTGTACACCTATTAATAATTTATATGTGTAGGATTTCTCTTCATCTGCAATTCATTTACCAATTGATCGGTTTTCATTTCGATATGACTATAATTATATAGAACACGACTTTATTAAAATGTACATATCTGACATTCACAATATCAATCCATTTCTAAGTTATCGGATTGAAATATAATACTAGAAATCTATTGATATTAGCGTAATATAAAATAAAATAGATACCTGATATTGGAATACTTCCAAACAGCTTATATTATGTAAGGATTCTTGTATTCATAAATTACTTTTYACTTTAAATTAAAATACAAATTATTCGTCATATTTCTGTTTGCAATATTGGTCATGATATTCGCGTTTATCATATACAAGAAAATATACACCTAATAAGTAATAGGTACGTAGAWAGTAAAACCAAAAATCAAAAATAGTTAAACTAACATCAAATACAAAAATATGAGTAATAACTATACTTATTGACATTTTGAGTTTGTATATATTAGTCTTAAACTCGTAAACGCAGGGTAATGAAATCACTGACCGTTAGTGCCGCGAAACATCAACACATTTGACCATTTATAACCTTGTACTTGTACGTCAACACACCAAGGCCGTTATGTCAATGAAAAAAAAAATCCCAAACTGTTTTCGAAACGGTATTCCATAGCCCCAAAATGTCATTTGTTATCACCACACACACTGTAAATCAACAGATACCTCTGGCTTATCAAGAGCATTGTCACGGTGGCGGTGCAAAACCCGTTGCTTCCGAGGAATGTCACGCCTGACACTGTACACTGTATACGCCGTGACAGTAACGACGATGCAGTAGTGTGTCATGGGACATTGAACACAACAGTGTGTGTGGATTACCCATTGGCTATCCAAAGCAGATCAATTGCATTTGTTCCGGGATTATTATCGTGCATATTATTATGCAAGAAAAGTGCGCGTACGCGTCGTCGCGTATTGTCCGGTACATCTACATATATATATATTTTAATGCATTGTATTATGACGTGTTTACACTAAAATGCGTAATGGATCAACTGCAGCAGCATCGGTGCAGATTGGCCATTTGTGCTGGACCATTAACTCGGGCGATCGGCCAAATCGAATTATAGCGCGATAAAGACGATGCGCGGCGATCGAACCGTATAGCAGAAACGGAAGCGATCAGAGGCCGGAAACGCGAATCTGTCGACGGGGGCGGCGGTACATTAGCAGAGGAATTTAAAATTTTTTTTATTACTATAAACGCTGAACCACGGGTGCACACT